GCTAAAATTGATCAATAATGTGAAAGGCCAATGTGAGGGGAAACCCCTACAAAGAAAAGGAGTTCGCGAAATTTTTTACGAAGAATGCCAAAAATGTGGAGAAGCTGCAAATTCAGTCAAAAATCCGAAAATAAGACAGCAATTGTTTGGGGCCTTAGTGTTATAACGGCCACAAAAAAGTGACAAGGCCTTATGGCACAAAATTTAGTTTCTTAACGCCCGTGGGCTTCAAGATGACAAACGGTAGTGATCGACTCTGTGTAGATTGCCGCCGCCTGGACAATCTAAATAAAAAGGAAAATTTCCCAGTACAAAATATCGAGGAGCATCTTCAGAAGGAAAAGCGATTTAATTACTGAAATGATTCAATTTGAATCGTTTAATCAGATTGAAATAGCACCGCAAAGTAGAAAGCTTACTGCGTTCATCACCACGGATGGACTTTATGAGTTCAACCGACTGCCGTTTGGGCTAAAGACTGCACCTGCTTTTTTCAATCGACTCATGGCAGAATTGCAGAAGCGATGGAAGACATCTTAATTGGTAGACAGACGTTTGACGAGATGTATGAGAGGCTTGAGCGAATCCTCCAGTTATTGCAGGAGTGCGGATTAACCCTAAATCTGAATAGATATGAATTGTATAAGCAATCTATTACATTCCTGGGTCATCGGATACACGCAGACGGCATCAGTCCTGGAGAGATTAAGTCGAATGCCATTTCATTGTTCCCGACGCCGAGCAATGTAACCGAAGTACGGCAGTTTTTAGGCCTCAGCGGATACTTCAGGAAATTTGTTGCTAGATATGCCATTATTTCGGAGACCTTGCGTACCCTATTGCGCAAGACAAGAAATTTAGGTGGGAACTGCCACAGCAAGATGCTTTTGCCGAGTTTGCTTGATATCGAATCCTGTTGTCGTCATCTACCGCCTAGATATTGATCATGAAATACATACGGATGCCAGCGCCGTTGCTTTGCCGGAGTATTGCTGCAAAAGGTGCGGATAAAATGAAGCCAATTGCTTATTATAGCCGAGCAACCACCAAACCAGAGAAAAACTCGCACAGTGGGACATTCGGCCGTTTGAGCTTGCTAAATTAACATTTGTTTAACAATTTATGCAGAGGACGCAATCATCTACACTAAGATAAAAAACACAAACGCTGTACAGAATTGTTTTAAAAAAATATTTAAAGATATTCAGGAGTGGGGAAACTTGCCGGGTGCCACACTCTCCACAAACAAATGTAAAATACTGCATATTTGCAGAAAACATCGCTGCACGGCGAGAAGCAATGATCTTTGTTTTCAAAACACGACAATTCAATCTGTAGACTACTTGAAAATTCTTGGAACTGTTTTCGATAATAAATTTAACTTTAAAGTACACTGCCTACAAATAAGATTACAATTAGAATCTAGACTTAACGTCGTTCGATTTCTAAGCTCAAAATTTTCAAATATCCATGTTAATACGTTAATATACATCAAAAGAGCTCTTATCCTTGCGAAAATCGACTACGGACTTCCGATATTCGGATGGAGCGCAAATGCAAATTTAAAAAAAATCCAAACACTATACCATAATTGCGTACACCGCAGCTCAAACGCCTTCCCTACATCTCTAATGAAATGCACTTTAGCAGAAGTGGGCCCGCCGCCCATAATACATAGGTTGTACGAAACCACAATCAGACTGCTGCCAAAACTCTCGTCGTCAGCCAACCGACTACTCAACAAATATTTCATGAAAGGCTTTCGCCATTCGTAAAGCCTGCACATACGCAAAGAAAAACCCCGATCTAGCTGTCAAAAATTTAAACTGCCACAATAAAATAATTGCTGAGATTCGAAACCTGTAAATGAGCATGCGGACATAGCTGCAAATCACGTCACAAAGGCCACAACTTTCCTACCAATTCCCCAACCGATACAAGATTTTTAAGCCGAGTGGTTCACCCACGATCTATCCGCCTACGTATCGGCCATACAAAATTGACTCATGAACACCTTTTAACCGGCAAAACCGCACAAAGTTGTCCCTGTGGAGACACTCTCTCAGTGGATCAGCTTTTAGATGTTTGTATAAAATGGTGAAGGATAAGAAAATAACTCTTTAAAGATAAGAAGCCCTCAGCATTTCTTAAGCATACTAAACCTGAAACATTAATTTAATCAACCTGTTTTTAGAAAAATGTAAATTAAACGAATATATCTAACAGGAGCCATGAAAGAGCAGAGCTGAAGGCCCTAGTAGCTAGTGCTCGAATAGTTTTTAATTACTTCTCGTTTCCTGGGCTTCCTCTGACATCTGTCTAATTGGTAGGCTCTGATGTTCAATTAAAATTAAGCCATGTGCCAGAATCTTATGAAGCGTGGGAGCTAGCTTCTTTTCATGATATTTTTCCGGTAACAGTTCTGCAGCCTTCGAGGCATATTCACCAAACATGCGGGTACTTTTTTTTCTTTGCAGTTAAAAATATCATCAGCACGAGCATATGGTTTCATTAGTACCTAACTTTAGAGCTGTTTTTCAACTTTTACCGGACTTTAAAAATATATATCCCGAGATTTTTTTGTATATGTTCTTTGAACTATTTATTACCTAAGTCTACCTAAACGCTTCGGAGCCGTTTGGCTTCTATACCGGTTTACATGCTACAACCTCGCAGGAAAAAGGGGCCAACATTTTAGATGGTTTGCAAAAAAAGTTTTGCTGTAGAACTGCCTACGCAACTGACCATATTTTTAAAAAGTTTTCCTAAGAATTAATGCACATAATAAAAATACTTGGTTACCTGAAAAATGCAGTATGAGCATACAAGTTCAATACCTTTGGCATACTTATTAAAAATTTTAAGCTTTGAGTGCTCATATCTTCTAAACTAAAAGATTATTTCGAAAATCTTAGACTATCGACACCCTTATGTTCTGAGAACGACGAGTATGTTATTGAGAAAGATCGCGTTTTTCGCAAATATGACAGCAGGCTGCTATGGATTGCGCCAAGGCAGTTAAGATTCTATATTCTACATGAATGTCACAACATGAGAAGTGAAGTTGAGTCCACTGCAATCAGAACACTACCTGCACATAATAATGTGAATAGTATGTTGGGCTGGTTTAGGAGAGTTATGGGCGGCCTATATATGTTCTTAGCCTTAAACTCTTTCACACCCAATTGCCTGGCCAAAATGTGTCAGATCAAATGGTATCAAATTGACTTGAATTACTCCACCTTTAAGCCGACGTCTTTTATTTTGCTTTTTAGTTTTTTTTAGTTTTCAGGTCTGGAGGACAAAAACTTGCCGCTTTGGTGGTGCACTACACTGTCGCAGCGCCTGCAGGGGACTTTCTGCTGATCTTAGGTGATCTCCTTCTTACAAGTTTTTTTGGCGCTGACCACCGAGAGCGAAAAGAAAAGAACAAAACAGGTACGTATGTACATATGTACATACAAATGTACTGTGATCCGTGCCATTAGCGAAAAATGCCATAGATAAGCTAATATCAGCTGCTTGACCCGACGAATTTGCTGCCTAACCCAACAAAAAAATGTAACCCGATTTTTCTTTAAAAAAAATGGTTGTTGTATTTCGAGAAAACCACCATAGCTTTCCTTCAAGCTCATTTATAGTTATTTATGTAGCTTGTGAGTCGCTGCTACCGCCGACTGTAATTTTTTATCCGATACAGATTTTCGTTCTTTGTGGGGGCGGAAGAGGGCGTGGAAAATTTTGAAACAAACTTGATTCAGTGTGATATCACAGAAGCTTGGGTACAAAATTTCGTTGCTGTAGCTCATGTAGTCTCTGAGAGCTAGGCGTCAACAAGACTGACAAACGGACATGCGGACGGACGGACAGACACTACACAGACATCCGTTTTGCAGTCAGGTTATGCTCGGACAGCAAAGCATAATCTTCGACTAGCGAGCGGGACAGCCTCGAGCAGGCTGATATTTAAAAAAGCATAGTCTACAATCTGAAACAACGAACTTTGTGATTAGCACAATTGCTGACTTTAAAGAGCTGCCAAAAAGCCACACATGGATACAGAAATTCTTATCCAGTGTTGATATTCATTAAGAGAGAATAACAACACAATTATGAACAAATTTAAAGACAATTGTCGACTTTATACCAAAAAAAGCAATCGTGCCCACTGGGCACTGTGTAACAGTAGATAAGAAACAGACGCACTCGGTGAGATCTAGTCGATGACTGCTCCTAGACTCTATCTGCTAGAAGGTATGATAGATAACATACATTTTGCCATCCCAGCTGAGGTAAGAAATTCAGAACTAAGAAATTACTACTCCTTACTAGTGACGGATATAATCATATACCACTGGTATTCGCCTTTAAATTATTGCGCACTGATCGTTTCTAAATCCAAATTGATTATCTCGTTCTCTCGTATCGAGTAGTATAGTATTTTTAATATTAATGGCCACTAAATTACGTCAAAAAGAAACTTTATTTACCATTAAAAAATAAACATAATTGCTTGCAGGAGAAATTGCTTTTGTTTTTGTATTAGTATGGTATTGTATCTCTGACTAGGAGGCGTGATGTAACCTCCGATGTTATCCGTTTATTATTATATATGCTTTCATTTATAGCTTATCCCTTGGTATTTTTTTAACGTGTGAGTTCACCATCCAAAACTCTACATTTGGAGTGGACTTGTCTTCATATGTATATTTAAATGCTTAAAAACCTGAAATTTTTAACAACTACACACAGAGTGAAACTTTATTTAATAACAATAATCATATTTATATATGCATGAATGTATGTATTTAAAATTTTCCAATGTTGCTGTAGCTTTAAGAGCAAAATAAAAAAAAGCCTTTTTTAAAATAGGTCTGCTTCACCGGGTCCACTGGGAATTATATAATTGTAACCATGGTAATAGTGCCCTGCCCTTTTTTCTCCTCTCGGTTGGGTTTCGGTCCCGGTTAACGCTAATAAGCTAATATTTTTGCAAGTATTCTTTTTAATCTTTGCTTTGCATATACTTGATCAAATCAATGACGCGGTTAGAGTAGCCAAACTCATTGTCGTACCAAGAAATTAATTTGACGAACTTGTCGTTAAGCGATATGCCAGCTTTAGCGTCAAAGACTGAAGAGTGAGTATCGCTAAGGAAATCAGTCGAGACAACTTCCTCGTCAGTATAGCCAAGAATTCCTTTTAGAGGACCATTGGCAGCCTCCTGTACCTTGGCTTTGATTTCGTCATAGCTAGCGCCCTTGCCCAAGCGCACAGTTAAATCGACAACAGAAACATTAGGTGTGGGAACCCGGAAAGCCATACCAGTCAATTTGCCATTCAGAGCAGGGATGACTTTTCCAACAGCTTTTGCAGCTCCAGTGGCAGCAGGTATAATATTTTGGGCAGCGCCACGACCATCACGCCACAATTTGCCGGATGGACCATCGACAGTCTTCTGAGTCGCTGTAGTGGCGTGTACAGTGGTCATCAGACCCTCAACAATCTCAAAATTGTCGTTAATAACCTTAGCTAAGGGAGCCAAGCAATTAGTCGTACAGGAAGCATTCGACACAACCTTCATGTCGGGCTTATAGGCATCTAAATTGACGCCGCACACAAACATAGGTGCATCTGCGGATGGCGCCGAAATTACCACCTTCTTGGCACCGCCCTTTAAATGAGTCGATGCTTTTTCAATTGTAGTGAATACACCAGTGGATTCAACTACGTATTCCGCGCCAGCGCTGGCCCAGTTGATGTTAGCTGGATCGCGTTCGCTGAAAACAGTAATTTTCTGGCCGTTCACAACCAGAAAACCGCCTTCAGCGGCTACAGTACCCTTGAAACGACCATGAGTTGAGTCAAACTTGAAGAGATATACCATATAGTTGACATCGATGAATGGATCATTGACGGCAACAACGGAGGCGCCCTTGTCGATAGCGGCGCGCAGTACCAGACGGCCGATGCGTCCAAATCCGTTAATACCGATTTTCGACATGTTTCGAGTTGTTATTATTGATGTTTTGCACAATTTCTAGAAAAAAAAAAATGTTGTACACATATGTATGTGTAATTAGTAAATTGGAAAAAGAGTAATGAGTAGCCGTTAAGAAGTGGAAGTTCACTACCGTTCAGTTCGCTTGCAAGGAATCGACTGTGCTATCTCTGAAGCATTGAAAACTTTCGTTGAGTTAAAATATTCCGAGAAAATTTTCAAAGTCATTTGAAGGACGTTTACTTCAAGCAGCGTAACCAACCACAGAAGGCGAGCTTTTCCTCTCATCAAAAGCGTTGTCCACGCCATGATGAAAACAGCTAGAGGTGGCCTTGCAAATGGTATGTTCTCTCTCCTCTCTGCGCATATGACGCCAGTTTTTAAATTTAATTTAGAACACCTATTTCTTTAATATTAGTCTTTTTGCTTTATTTATTGCCTTACCGAAATCTTAAGCCAGCCTTTTTATATATGTATATTTTTTATATGTACATAAAAAGTGCATACATACATACATACATATGTAAGCAAACAAAGTGGGCTAAGTGGCCACACCATGTCTTTTCCACTTCAAAAAGGTTGTCATCGGGCAAATGTACGTACAAAATATATATGTATATATGAATAAAGTATATATGTAACCTCCACTTGCTTTTTACAATAAAACAAGCAATGTTAACAACAAAGACTTCTTTCAAATAGGTAACTGGTTTAAAAAAGGGGCAAAAATACAGTGACGTCATAAAATTTAATCGAGCAGTCTATACCTTATATTGTGAGTAACATGAGTAAATGTTACCCAACAGACATTATGAGTATGTATTTTTGTTCTCCAAAAGTGAAAACATACCTTTCAAAATTTTGCCTCACCCCCTTCCGGCCAACAAAGAACGAAAATCTGTGGCATCCACAATATTGAAGATACGAGAAAACTAAAAACGCACAATCATAGAGACTGACCCTATGTACCAGATTTCCGTATTTTAATCAGATCAAATTGTTATTATAGCCAAAAGTAACAAATTAATTTTCGGTCGCTTCGCAATGCCCGACGACACGTTCAGACTGATTTTCTGTCTCTCTAGCACACACATTTTATCGCTCAATGTACGCGCCGTCTGCCGGAGGAGAGCCATACTGACTAGGTATCGGGTATAAATGTAGAGTTGCGGTCGTAGCAGCAACTCACAACGTTCCCTTCGTTTTTAATTTGAATTGTGGTTGGGGATCGAAAATCCTTTTGCAAATTTAAGCAGTTATTTTGCATTTAAAATATAACATATTACTAGGAAATTTAATATTAATACAGAGTTTTAATTATTATATTATCCATCCAATTATAAATGGCAAAAGGATTTTTGAAGAAGATACAAATTTCATAAGCATATTTCATACACATAAAACAATTGATATTTATGGGCTGTGCTCATCTTACTATTAATTTGTATTTGGTTTGACCGCTTGGCCGGAGAGTTATTTATGAATTGGCTCCACGTAAACATTTAATTCGAAATAGTTATTAGTTCGTTCAGTTCAGTCAAAAAAAATAATCAGAGCAAAATTGGCCTCGGAAACACACATAAGTTTGTACATACACAGATTCAAAAGAATATATGTAAGTTTAAGCGCATTTTGTTAAGTTTAAATATAATGTAGTACCCAGGATATAAGTCGAAGAGCTGAGCCCCTATTTGTAACAACAATTATGTTTTCTAATACACCAGCCAGCTAGCAAAATTGTATCTGAAAAGTATAGCAATCGATCATCTTGATTGATTGAATTGATTTTGAATCAAAACTGAAACGTGTACGCTTTACAAAAAAATATACGTATTTTTTTTTTAAATTGTGTGAGTAATATGTATTCTTTTTAATTTATCTTCAAATCAAATCAGATCAAATCTTTACCGACAATGCCGTATTTAAAGAAGGATAAAAAATATAGCGAACGCATCTACTGAAGAAGAACAACAAATGGTTGAGTACCTGTCGACGAATCGAGCGGAATAATTTAATTTCCTCAGAATTTCTGTAAATTTGTCACAACAAAAGACAAGCTCATCAACAAAGTATTCCTAAAAATCATTTTCAGCTACAAAAAAAAATGGTTGAGTGAGAGAGCGATTTTAGCAGCTAGGAATATGATGTAAATGACCTTAATTGCATAATTCAGAGCGAGATCATTGGAAAATGCATTCATTGAAATCTATTGACTGTGTTACCAAAAACCAACTATACAACTGAATTTGTAAAATCCTTGGATGTCCCAAGCTTACAACCGTACCATTTATGCCTAAAGGTTGGCTCCGTAGTAATCATGCTTAGAAACATAAACCAAGAAAAACTGTGCAACGGTACGCGTTTGGTGGTAAGAAAATTGATGAACAATTTAATTTGCGCGACGATACTCAAAGGAGAATTCGAAGGTGAGGAAGCTCTCATTCCTAGGACTCTGATGATCTCAACAGATATGCCGTTTGGGTTTAAAAAACTTAAATTTTTGATACGTCTTGCATTCCCTATGACTATTAACAAATCAGAAGGCCAATCCTTGAAATTATGTGGTCTGAATCTGAAAATAAACATGATACAATCCAAAATCTGATTATTTATTGCCTATAAGGCGGAAAAAAGTTCACCGGGTCAATTCAAAATTATTCGCTACAAATTGTCCAAATTTAATTAAGAATTTTTCTTTGTAGCTTGGAGGAATAACGTCTGCCGGGCTAGCTAGTTTCCTTTTATTTATATTTTTGGGGTATGTAGGGAACATGATGGAATTATAATTACATCATGATGGGGACCACGAAAATGTTTATTGTGTAATGATTTCTGTTTGCTTGTGTACAGAACGTAACTGAAATTTAGCTTTTGATGAGCTTTCTGCGAACAAAGCTCAACAGTGAATACATACATATGTACATAAACACTTAATATATGTATGTATGTACTTTCGTATTTAAAGAAAAAACAAGCATACATATCTATGGATATACATATATCCATATATTATAAATATATCATGTATGTAAATAGATGTTAATGTATTTATGCATATGTAAACGCTGAGATTACCTATGTATTTACATGTATGTATGCATATGTAGGTATATGCATACATATGTATGTGTTTGACTGTCGCACTCGAATTTGCAAGCTCGTATGCACCACGTACAGTTATTCAAGAAAGATTTGTTACACATTGAGCAAAAAACTGTTGATAGTTGGCGAGTCCCACAACTACATATCACCAAATATTGATTCTGAATTTGTAATAACTTGAGATTCATTATGATTCCAAAGGAATTTGGCATTTGACTGATTCTAATCAGTAAATCCTGGCTCAGAAAATGTATACATATACATACATAAGTATGTATATTAGTACACATGTACATACATACATATGTACATACATAGGTAGTCAGGGAAAGTGTGCGAAAGTTTTACGAGGTCAAATTGTGCTTACATATGTACATATGTATGTATTTACGTACAAATTGGATGAGCGGGTAATATGGATATTTGTATGTATGTATGAACATATATGTACATATGTATATGGATGAAAAAAGGCATAACCGTGTGACCACTTCAGAGAAGTCTTTGGCGATGTTCGTATTTATTGTTTTAAAATCAATATACGAAAATGAAAAAAAAAAACAATTCAAAATACATATAATTTTACCATACACTTAACAAAGAAAAATATGAGAATTCCAATCTTAGATAAATATGTATACATAATTTAATATGAGTTAATATCAGATTTTATGAAGAAAAAGATTTATAAAAGAATTTAAATTTGTTGCAATGTGACTATTTCCAACGACTATAAAAATAAACCAAGATTTATTATTTATTTAATATATTTACATTATTCACTTCGACGTTTTTTTATGACTTTTTTCTTCTGCCGTCATCTACTTCTATCGCTCCTCAACCTCGAATAATTCATTTGTGTAGCTAAATTTTTATTTTACAAAGTACCTTTAATATTCTTAGCTTATTAGCGAATGAACACTTAGGATGGTACCATTCAGGTACCATGACCTTCCTACTCTTCTTTAACGAAAAAGTTGACACTACTTTTCGTTGAGTAGTTTCTGAACATACGCGAAAACTTCGTTTGAAATGGTACCGTGCGAAAACTTTAAAGTATTTGACTGGAGCAGGAGCCTTTTTACTGGGCGATTGTAAAATTTTTCTGCATCATGCAACATTGAATGTATCCTAGTCCCTTTAATGCCGAAAGATTCCTCTTTCTTACGCTAATGCGCGCAGCCACTCTAGTTGAAAACTAATTTAGAAGCTCCGAAAAAAACAAACACACGCAAGTGCGCACATTGCTGACTTAGCTGAGCTGAAAACTTAAAAAGCTCACCCAGATCAGCTCAGCTTGGTTTGATTCGTTACTATGGCAGCTGTTCGGAGCAGCAGCCGTCTATAGCTCAGACGAGCTCATACATGCACACACGTATGTAACATATGTTTCGACCTTTCCTTTCTAGTCGCAGTCCATATCGTCGTCGAAAGCGCAGCATCGGTTCGCATACCTAACTTTTGTATTTATAAAAATTTCATGAAAACATTGAACAATAAAACACTAAATTAAAAGCTAACAACGGAGAAATTTTAGTCGTAAATGTGAGGTCAGATTTGCTGAAAAATCTTTGCAGCTTCCAACATTTTGGTGACAGCGACGTGATTGCCTTGGACCTAACGTAATTAAAAATTGGTAAAGCAGTTAGTCAAAAAAGTACCGAGCCAAAAATCGTTGTAGCCGACCGTGCCAGTTCTAGTGTGAGGAACCGCGGTTCCCACAGGCCGAATTCGGTGGTGGAGATCCGTAGCTAAGTAAAATTGTCATATCTAGCCCTAAGTCCTAATATAATACGAATAAAACGAAATTAGATTACCGAAAAGTAAGGCTTTATTATTTGTCGTTGGGGCAACAATAAAAATACATTGCAGCGAATCTGCCGACCGCTGAGCTAGCCCAGCAAACTCAAGAGGACCAATAAGTAGGTCCGTTACA